AGAATCAAAATTTGTAGACAATGTATTGTTTCAGCTTTTATTAGGTATGATATAAAATTTAATTTAATTTCTTTTTTTCATATTTAAAATTTAATTTAATTTCTTTTTTCATTATTTAATTGATAAAATTTTTAGTCACAAAGAACTCGAAGAAAAATTTTTTAATGATCTTGAGGAAAATGACCCAATAAAGAATTTGGTTATGGCGATTCATTCGGTTGATTGTTATCAACTAGTAGGGTATTATATGCACCCTTCTATTCGTTACAGTAAACTTTCAACTCATTTGTTATTTTTTCTACATAAAGACATCGACACCACTCTTTCAAAATATAACATGTTACTATAAAGTTTGCAATCCGAATGGATAGAAAAGAAATCAAATTCGGTTCAAGAATATCAAACCGAAATTCTAAAAATGAAACATCCTTCAATTACCAATGAAAACATTCAAAATGTTTTAGAAAATGCTACATTTTATTTTCTAGATGATTATAACCTTCAAGATAATTTAGTTAATATTGAAAATTAAAATAATTAGGCCACTACTTTTGAGTTTCATAATTTATGTAATTTTGTTGAAACTTAATAATATTTTAATAAAAAATTTTGTTTCTTATTATTGAGACCAAAATTATTTTGGAAGAAATGCTCTTTCAGAATATTTCAAGAAGAAATATCAATCAAATTGAAGTTGGGCTATCAGTTTTTGGATCAAAATTTCTGGAGAAATTACTTTTATCAATTTCTAAAAAAGGTATTGATACAAAAATTTATCTTTTATATCACTATAAAAAATGCTTACATTGTAATGTCTGTTAATGATATTTGGTCTAAGAATTAAAATTTGTCCTGCTTTATTGAGAAAAAATGGTAAAAACCACATTTTCTTTCCGTATAAATTTGGTTTAGAAAATAAGAACAAAAGTAGCTAAAACATGGTTTGAGACGTTCGAGTTTGGGTTAAAGAGTTTAATAAAGAGTTTAATAAACAAAAAAATATAAATTTACACAGACAGTAAAATTTTAAATTAGGTATTTTTTTTAAGTAAAAATACTGTATATGTAAAATCAATAATAAAAGTAAATGAAATCAATAATAAAAAAGTGACAATCATTGTCATTTTAAAATTTTAAATAATAATTGATACTAATGATTACATAGGATCAGGATATTCCAAATAGTTTTGGATGCACTAATATTTCATAATCTTTGGTTGGAAAAAACACTTGTTACGTAAAAATTTAAGTCTTTCCAAAACATTACATTCAACATATCGGCAATTAGAAAATTTAGCCTTGACTTTAAATCGTTCAAAACAAAAATTGTCTTATCAGAATATTAATTACAAAATAGAAAAATTATTACATAAATCCCAGTAAATTATATTTTATACAAATTCTGGTAAAACGATTGTTAAAATAATTTATTTTATTACATTTAAACTAAAAGTATTAATTAAAAAAAACTAAAATTGCTCTTATCAGAATAATATTGATGTTATCATAAGAGACGTATAGAAAAATCATCATTTAAGAGCAAAATGAAATGATGAAAAAACTGTTGACAGTATAATGAGAATAAAATTGAAAACAATTAGAGAACAAAATCGAAAAACCAATATAAAAAAACCAAAGAGAAAATATAAAGAGAGTAAATTGAGAATAGCTCAGTGAGCTCATATTCTCGGCCAGCTTAGTAAGCTCATGACCAGAAGTCTAAAGAGATAATTGATGCTGTTTGGTAAAAAAATAGAAACTGCAAATAAAAGTCTACTTTTCTAAATTCACTTTATTACTTAGTTTCTCGGCGTAAGAAAATTGGCAAGTTTTATCTGAACTAGCTTAAACTTTATAATTGTTCTAACATTAATTTTATTGATACAAAAAATAAAATAAAAGTAAAAACTATATAATTTAACTTCCCTTGAAATTAAGTCCAAGTTTCATGAAAGG